TGAGGCGCAACCCAGTATGGTGCAAAGCATCAAGACGGCGAAGAGTAGAAGGAGAAGCAGACGAGTAAGCAGGGCAACCATAATCGAGCTTAGACAGGACGAGAGAGGAATGTAAAGCAAGGAGAGTGCGCCTATCTGCCCCCCAAGAAGTATGGGACAAGACCCGAAGGAGGGTAAGGGCCTTAGAGCACTCAACACGGAGGTAAGAGATATGGGGAGACCAAGACAAACGAGTGTCAAGGAATAACCCCAAAAGCTTCGCGGAATCTTTGTATTCAAGGGGATGACCATAAAGTGACAAAGAGGGACGAAGAACAACCCGTTTCCGCGTAAAAGTCATGGCACAAGTCTTAGAAGTAGAGAACTTGAAGCCATGACCTGTGGCCCAAGACGACACGGCATCAATCGCAAGTTGAAGCCGGCGTTGAAGGAGAGGCGAATCATCACCCTGACAACAAAGGGTAAGATCATCGACATAGAGAGCGGAGAAGACACCAGAAGGAAGAGAGGAAAGAAGACCATTGAGGGCAACCAGAAAAAGAGTAGTGCTCAGAACACTACCCTGGGGCACACCTTCGTATTGCTGAAAAGAGGGAGAGAGAGCGGTACCAAGGCGCACCCGAAAGGAACGACGAGAGAGGAAGCTGCGGAGAAAGAGAGGGAGATGACCACGAAGGCCAAAAGAATGAAGTTGAGATAGGATATGATAACGCCAAGTGGTGTCGTAAGCCTTTTCTAGGTCAAAAAGGACGGCAACAACGGAGGTCTTCGCAGCAAAAGCAGTACGAATATAGACCTCCAAGTTCACCAGGACATCTGTCGTGCTGCGGCACTTGCGGAAACCAAATTGAGAAGGGGAGAGGAGGTGATGGTGTTCCAGGAACCACATCAGACGAACGTTAACCATACGTTCAAAGAGTTTGCAGACACAACTTGTGAGAGCAATAGGGCGAAAGTCCTTAGGGGAAGTACCCAGAGACCCCGGTTTGCGAACAGGGAGGACAACGGCATCGAGCCAGTCCTCAGGGACTGACGACGACTCCCAGATCCGATTATACAGACTCAGTAAATACTGAGACGTGCTCGGAGGGAGATGGCGAAGCATCTCATAATGAATACCATCGGAGCCCGCCGCCGTAGAACCGCAGAGGGCCAGGGCAGAACGAAGTTCAGAGAGAGAGAAGGGATCATTATAGGGAAGCTGAAGATGAGTGCAGAAATCTAAAGGACGAGACTCAAGGACAGGTTTACGAAGAAGGAAAGATTGGGGAAGATGAAGACCAGAGCTAACAGAAGAAAAGTGGGAACCCAGTTCGGAAGCGACCTGCAACGGGTCCGCCACAAGAGTATCATGGAGGTGAAGGACCGGTGAAACATCGGGAACGAACTTACCCGCTATCTTGCGGATACGCTTCCAGATCTGGGCCAGAGGGGTTTCGGACGTAATTGTCGAGACATAAGATGCCCAACATTCACGTTTAGCCGTACGGATGGCCCTACGGGCCACCGCACTCGCTTTCCGAAAGAAAAGAAAAGAATCGGTCGTCTGCCTACGGCGGTGCTTCTTCCAGGCTGCACGCTTACAGCGGACAGCCCGAGCACAGTCCGCATTCCACCAGGGAACGCACTTCCGTGGACCCCGAGAGGAAGAGCGAGGAATAGAGCGGAGGGCAGCGTCGAAGACAGTGTCATGAAAAAGGAGGAGAGCGCGAGAGAGGGGCAGAAGGGAGAGGTCAGAGAGAGTAGCACTGAGGGAAAATAGGGTCCAGTCCGCCTTAGCAAACTGCCACCTAGGGAAAGAGAGGGAAGGGCGAAAAGAGAAAAAGGAAACAAGGATGGGGAAATGATCACTTCCATGGAGGTCATCAAGAACCTGCCACGTGAAATCTAAGTAAAGAGAAGAAGAGCAGAGAGAAAGATCAAGACAAGAAAGGGTGCGAGTTCGAGAGTCCAAATGAGTGGGCTCACCAGAATTCAGAAGAGACAGGGAAGAAGAGAGGAGAAACGGCTCAAGGAGGCGACCCCGGGTATTCGTCAGAACGTCACCCCAAAGAGAATGACGACAATTGAAGTCACCCAGCAGGAGCACAGGCTCCGGCAAGGAGTCTAGGAGGTGTTTCAAATCAGGAAGAGAGAGCGGGACACTCGGGGGGAGATAAATGGAACAAACTGTGTACCATTTCCCCACAAAGATACGAGCAGCAGAACAATGGAGAGGCGAAGGAAAAAGTAAAGGAACAAAGGGAACATCAGCCCGAATCAAGAGAGCAGAAGAATTAGAAGCCCCAGCAATGGCTGGGGGGGGGGAGAGAAAGGAATAGCCACGAAAACGACCAGGACGAGCACCAAGCATCGGCTCCTGGAGACAGACACAAAGGGGCGAAAACCGCGAAATCAGAAGTTGGAGTTCGAGGAAATTGGCGTAATAACCTCGAACGTTCCATTGAAGAATGGACAACGACGAGAAGAGAAAGGACAAAAACAGAGAACAAGGAAGAAACAAAGGCGAAAGACCAACAGAGCACGTTAAAGAATATCAGGGTCGGGATCAGGGTCAGCAAAGTCAGGGTTAGGGGGCATGGGTAAACTGAGCAAAGACGGAGGGAAGGAAACGGGAGAACAGATCAGAGGTGGGCGGGCAGGGTCCGGAGGAGGAGGAGGAGGAGGAGGAGGAGACAACGGAGAGGAGCAGTCAAGGACAGCAGCAGGAAGAGGGGGAGTAGAAAGAGAGGAGCGCACCCCAGCAAGAGCAGCAACCGAAAGGGAAGCAGGGGCCAAAGAAACCTCCATAGCAGGAACAGGGGGCGCAAGCACTGAAACGGGAGGGGAAGGAGCAACAGAGCCAGAAGGAGGAGCTGAGGAAGAAAGCGAAGCCTTCTTACCCGCCGGGGAAGAGGAAGGAGAGGAGCCAGGCTTACGCTTCTGACTTAAAGAGACCGGTGTCCCAGCAACTACGTACCGGGCAACGGATTCCAGTGTCTCAACAGGAGAAGCCGAACGAGAGCACACACGACGGCCGTTAGGAGAGCGATGGACATCCGCCCGCACCGACAGGCGGCGGGGAGAGCCGATAGATGGAGGAAGAGGATGGGAAGGAGGATCGGAGGGGGACGAGGAAGAAGACACAGAAGACACGACAGACCGGGTAGAAGGAAGGGGAACCCCAGACAGAGGACCAGGAGGAGGATCCTTCGGGAGAGAACCCAAAGGGACAGAGGAGGGGGCAGTGGGCGCATCAGGGTCCAAGGCCTGGAAACGGTTGTGAGTCTGAGGAAGGCGGGAAGGACGAGGAGAGGAAGAGCGCAACACGCGAGCATAAGAGATATTAGCATAAGGCGGGAGCCGGCGAACCTGGCGCCTCGCCTCAGGAAAAGATAAACGCTCCCGGTGCTTCAAGTTGAGGACGGCTGCCTCAAGCTTGTAATGGACACACGCACGGGAGAAGGTAGGATGGGCCTCACCGCAGTTGAGGCAACGAGCCTGGGGAGAAGTGCACTCCGACTTAGAGTGACCTTCGCCACCACACAAAGGACAGAGAGAGACAGTCCCGGAGCAGCGGAGGGCACCATGCCCAAACCTCCAGCACTTGTTGCAGAGCCGAGGAGAAGGAATATACTCCTGGACAGAGCACCTGGCACCAGCAAGAATGACAGAGGGTGGAAGGGTCCTACCATCAAAGGTAATCTTCACAACCCGGAGGGGTTGACGGCGACTACCACGAGGGGGACGAGTAAACGTGTCCACCTGGAGAATAGAATGGCCCTGGGCAGCGAGGATATGTCGAATATCGTCGTGGCAGTCGCGCAGGTCCCGAACACCGGTCGCAACATGGGGCGGGAGCAAAATAGTGCCAACACTGGCATTCAACTGAACGTTCTTCGAGACCCGAACAGGGGTCTCGCCAAGACAGGATAAGGCAGCCAAGCGGGAAGCAGCATCCTGAGAAGGAGCAGCAACGACACGCGTACCGAGACGAGTGGGGTTAAAAGTAATGGAGGCATCCACGGAATCAATGAGATGTCGATGAAGGGAGAAATCGTCAGGAGGCGCAGAATCAAGAGGGAGGAGATCAAAATATTTGGCCCACGAAGCGGGACCAAACAAGGCTTGATAGGTAGCAGAACTGGAAGGAATCGAGCGAGGGCGGCCGTGACGAGGACGGCGGTGAGAACCCCCAGAGAGAGAGGGGTTAAAAGGCGCAGTAGTTACAACTAGAGAAGGAGCCGCGCCAGGGGACGAGGTAGTCACCACTGGGGGCTTGGGGCTCGACCCAACCACAGAGGAGGGAGGGGAGCCAGGGGAAGGAGTCAGAGAGGCCAAAGGAGGAACAAGGTCGGGGCCCAATGCAGCGGAGGCTACAGAGCCCGGTCTTCCAATACGGACCGACTCGGGGGCTTGGTCGCCCACCCCACGAGCCTGAGAAGGTAAACCAGAAGCAGCCGAAACAGGGGTTATCATCATTACAAAAAGAAGAATTCATTCACGAATGTGCCCCCACACCCACCATGGAGCCACAATTAGAGGCACGACACCCAACAAGAAGCTATCGCCGATCTTGCCGAGGCCTCCTAGGGGTGCGTCGTGAGTATACGCCCCACAAACGCCACCTTAAGAAACCGACAGTCTGTCGAGATCGGGTTCAGTGACGAAAGGGGGATTGACAATAAAAGGTTCCCCTCGCTCTCGACGTCGGGTACTACAGTTCTACGGGTGCAAGAGTATGCCTCCTCAAGCACCCGGGCGTCAAAATAGAAGAAGTCCAAGGGAAGAACCAGAACGAGCAAAAGGTCGGCAGGAAACGGCAAGCAGATAGGAGAAGAGGGGGGAGAAAAGACGAAACAGAAGGAAAAGGAAAAGATGCCCAGCAGAATTGGAGAGGACGGCAGCAGGAGCACAAGGCTAGAAAAGGACAGAGGACTGTCCCAAGGAGCATCACACTCTGGCAGCTGCCCACTAAGCCCCCACACGGCGACAACGAGCTGAGCGGAGAGGGGGCAGTACAATTCAGCTCCTTAATTGAAGCCACATATATTCAAGGTTAAATTTTGTTTAGCTTTCAACAAGCTGGCACATACAGAATCAAAAAGCACTTGATATGCTCTATACATTCACAAGTTTTGATGTCAGATAAAAAAAAATATATAAAAAATCTTACAAGAGCAATAATGCTAATGCAGGAACAGTAGATTATAGTATATTACTATATGAAATATAACCTTTTCTATCAATAACATTAATAAGAATTATTTGTGATTAATTACAAAATGTTTTGGAGATTTTGGAAGACATTTAGGATTTGCTTCAGTACCAATGTCTGCTGTTGATGACTTTCCTGTAGTGTGTTCAACAATCTTGTCTTTTCCTCTCTACACTGCTGGCTATACTGTTCCAATAGTTTCATTATTCCACCTCTTTTGGATTCTTCACTTTGATCATCATTAGAGTCAAATTGGATATTTGAATCATCTGGTTCATCAAAACCACTTTCCCCAAATTGAATTTCTTCTGATTCTGTCTTTATATTTAAGTAGGGTGCCTGTAGTACTGATGGATTAAAAGTTGTTTTAGACTTGGGCAAGGCAGGTTTATCACGAGAATGAGACACTTTCATCTTTTTTTTAGCAGTTACAATATCTGGATGAACTAATATCCTGGGAATATACATGTGTTTAAGGCCAGATGGTATTACGAAGTTAGCGGGATAATAGAGTTTAAGCAATCGAGATGGAACAATTCCTTTTACAGTTCTGCATTCAATCAATTTTGTTCTTTTACCTTCTTTAATACTTATTATCTCTACTTTCACTTTATCTTCTTGTGAATCACTATCACACTGTAAAATATATGTAATTTTGTTTGATGGGCTGCTGTTTGAAGATTTTATTTCTGTGGCGGATGTAAATCTGTCCTGGTCTCTATCAGAGACTTGTTCCTCAACTTCTGTACTTTTTGGAGAGTTTTTATCTAATGAAGTTCCTGTTGAATCCACAAAATTTGATTCTTCCTTCATATCGATCATAGTTGAACTAACAACTTCCTCTACCTCCCACTCTCTTATTTCATCAGTTGAGACTTGTACATGACGCTTCTTTGGGACGGACTGCTGCAAGACATTAATCTGAACATATGAGACCACATTTCCTGGAGCACTTTTGCTTTTAGTTTCTTGCAAATTCAGTTTACAATCTGCCAACTCGGCCACATTCTTTTCATTTATTTCTAACTTTCTTGAAGACACTTTTGGGGTTTGCTCCTTATTTACCAACTGTGGGGGTACTTTGGTTTGTATTTTTTGTGGTTTTGTTGCCTGAACTGGCAGCTTGAATTTATTTGTCTGACAATCTTGTTGCTGCTCAGTGTTTTTAGAAACTCGGACAGTTGGATATAAGTAAGATGGTTGGGGATCTAGCATACAAGGTGCTAGTAAATAGAGAAGATTAATTTGCTCAGTAAGTTGCTTGTAACCACCATGCTTGAATGTTGCTACAAGATACTGCCACTGGTCCTGGCACCGCAAAGAGGTTTTTTCAAACCCATTAGATCTTAACACCTCGCTGGCTACAATTGCCATGGTTTTTCCGACTGACTGTAAGTTCCGAGGCTGAAGTTCCCAATTAATGGCCGTCTCTGTCAACAAGTACACTTCTTCTACACTCCAGTCACAAACCTGAGAAAAGATACATAAAATAGTTAATAGATAAACAGCCATTAAGAAGAATGATGATGGAATCAGACCAATAGTCACCCCATTACCAGGGCAGCTGTCAGAAGCATCCAGACGCTGCTACAATGTTTCAACCACACCAGCTAGTTTTGGCATTCCTCATGAATGAGAAGCAGCAGCTCATGCAGTACGAGCATACATTAATGACTTCTCAAAAACTGTCGGAAATAATATGATTTCACCTGTTAAGAGAGATTGTGTTAGAAGCAGTTAAACCATGCTTTCTTATTCTCTTCAACCTTTGTTTCAGCCAGACACAGCAAGGTGTCGACATTGTTGTTAGGAGAAGCATAAAAGTAAATTCTGCAGGTGTTCAGCAAAGGGATTCTCTTGCTCGTCTCCTCTTCTGCATGGCTGAAGAGGTTGACACAAGCAGGTTGACCAGCAAGCTCAACATCTGGGTCCTGGATGATGGCACAACGGCAGGTACACAAGAGTCGCTGCTAGAGAATCTTTAGCTGGTAAATCTTTTTAAAAGGTAGATTGGAATTGCCCTCAATCCTTCAAAGTGCAAAATAATTTGATCTAACCAATCGATAATAAATGCAGTAAGATCCATTTTACTAGGAGCCTTAACTTCTGGACTGCACAAACATTACATGAGAATTCCTGCATACACAAGAAATTAAATTTAATTTTTTCTTCTAGTACTATTGTTAAAATGCATGCCCTGACTATGTGAAATTTAAGCAAAAAATTCAGTCACTTACTTGGCTATTGTGGAAAATTTATTTCAATGTTGGATAATGACTAAAGTTCTTCTAAATTAATCCCAACAATTGCCTTTGTTAATCACATTAATTATTAATGGGGCATGGATATAGGTAACCACAACAATGTAGTGCTTAATGTTTGTAGTATATTGGGACTAATGTATATAGTACTATATACATATAGATATGTATATAGTACATTCTCACAAGGTCATATATTAAAACCTGGATACTGAGGTTGAAAAATGCAACTGACTCTTTGGTGTTGCATCATGCTAATGCACAATAACAGGGCTGGAAAGAGAGGGAGGGAGGGGTATGTGGGGAGAGGGGAAAGGGAGATTCAAACATGATGAAAACATGTGACAGTCAGTCAGCTAGGTAGTTGACCAGTGAGTCAGGCTGGCCAACCAACTAGCTCTGGCTAGCAACTAGCCAGCAGGCTGGCCAGTAAGCTAAAATTGTGAGAATCATCCACTCCCTTTCAGATGACAACCAACTGTCTAGAACCTAAGCATGCTTTTCCTGCCAAAATGATTATATACTCACCTGCTTGTATGCCGGCCTTTGACCTGGCGGGCACTTTTTGTAACATGTTTCTAATGATGGAATTTAACTAGAGCATAAAGTGTGCATGGGGTAGGAGTGAAACCCAAAGCAATGAATGCTGTCCGGAGGATATTATAGAATATAAATGTTACAGGATTTGGGAACACGGACAAACTAATCCTGCCTCAAATAATTATATAATTAATCACTGCTAGCAGAAATTATTAACATCCTTTTCTGCTAACTAACATCCCCCCCAAGCCATGAAAATGTTAAGCACGGGTAATGGTGGGGGATGTAAGAATGCTCAAAGGGAAATATTCGGTAGTTTTCTATTTCTAATGAAAAATGGGTATAACCGAAATGGTTGGTGCAAAATTTGCAAGGAGTCCAAAGACATTCTTTAGGAGGATATGAGACTGTAGGCATGTGGGGGGAAAGGGGGGTTACAGTAGAAGCACAAGAAAGATGGTTTGCAAAGATAATTGTTAAACAGATGCAAAATGTAGGCGAACAAGTGCATGTATTATTTGAAGGAATAAACTGAAGAAATAACTATGTGCTCAACACACAAATAAGTGCAAGAAGATATGTATAATTTACTTGATTAAAAAAAGCTTATTTTATAGTAAGATTACTGAACTGATTTGTTAACCATTTATTCAGAAATGCTTGACCTATAAAAAAATCATATAAATGATTAAAATAATTCAATTATTGTAATTTCTTTACAAATGAATAATATCTTAGGTTACATAACTAAGACTTACAGACTGCCATCCAGGAAGAGGCACAGCAAGAAGTCCATAAGCAACCATTGGAAGGCTGTGGTTCTGCCACTGGTCATGTAAATTTATTTCGTTGGGTACTATTGTATTATCATATTCATCATCTTGATGAATATGATGAAGCTTCACCATCAGATACCATATCCTGCAACATTAATTTTAGATCTTAGTGAAGAACTCCAGTTCCAATAAAAAAAACAAAAAACAGAATTGAATGAAATTAAATGCCTCTTTCTGGTAGAGCCCCAGCCGCTCCCTGCAGCTATCTTGCTGATGGAGCTGCTGAGGTGACCTAGCATGCACTCCACGTTAATGGGTCATATCAGTTTAAAAAACATGCCCTACCAGAGCCAGAATCTGGCCCAACTGGCCCCCTCCCAGAAGCAGAGAGACCGAGTGACAATTTGTCCCGCCACCGGGAATGCATCCAGAAAGGCAGAGAAGCCTTACAGACAATGGAAGGGTTCATAGAAAACGAAGTCTTGAAACCACTAAAGAACTCTGTAAACAATTCACATGAACCAAAGGGATTCACACAAACTAGCACGAAACTCATAAGCACCAACCACCACCACCAGGCGGCCCAGCCCCTGAGCTCAGCAGACTTCCCTACTCGGTTCTGAACCTGATGAGCAATTCATCAAAAAACCAAACGAACCTGGAAGGGAGTGAGGGAATTGGGTAGCCACTGGGGCTCTACCAGAAAGAGGCATATCATTACATTCAATGCTAGGTTTATAGGAGAGCCCCCTGGTAGCTCCCTGAAACCAATTATTCATAGAGAACAAGAACAGGACTTCTTGGAAGAAGAGGCATGGACAAAGCAACAAAAGACTAATTTGGACTGGGAGCATTAACTAAATACGTGGCCACCAAATTCCTGTTAGAATACCGAAATCCCCAAGTCTGAATATCAGCCCAGGATATGCCAGAGAAGACCGCTGCCGAAGCCATATATTTGCAAATGTCACTGGCCCAGGACATAATGACACTGCAGATGACTTGGAAAAGGCGAGTATTGGAACAGGAGACCAAGCAAACAGGGTCAACCAACAAGATATGATAAGTTCTTCAACAAGATAAGAACCAATGGCCCACAGATAGTGGCAAAGAGCTGTGACTGGACAACAAATGATGCATCCATGGCCAAACCCCCCAAGCATCATCACCAAAAGAACCCTCCAGAAACCAGCCAACTCATTTGGCAGAAAAGAAGGCTCCATACTAACAAACTGCCCACCAGGGCAATAAGAACAGAACCCCTGCCTTTATAGACATGCCTGAAGCTTCCCAATCATACAAGAGCCAACAAAAACAAAGCCTTGAGAAAGACATCACGAACTGAAGAGCAAACCATAAACCGAGGCAAGGAGAGAAAGACCAGGACAGCTCAGGAGCAGCATGAGCCAGCTGGTGGTGAAAAAAAATCACAACACAACTACCTGAATGGCAATGAGGAGGTCTTGATGCTGAATGCAATCAACAACGGCTCCTCTAATATCAAATGATAACAGGTGACAGAATTAGACACGAGATGTCGACCAAGAAACGGTCAAGACAAAAGAAACAGGATGACCCTAACCGAAACCGAAGACAATGAAGGGACAGTGGTGAAATGAGTACCAGGCCATCTCATACTACTGCTGCAAATAAAGACACTGGTGGGACAACAAACTAGCCATCTTCTTGCCATTCAAATGGCAATATTCCAGGTTAAAAAACACCCAACATGTAGAGGAGAGAAGTTGGACTATTTTAGCTTTGAATCATTACCACTTCCAACTCAAACCAATGAAATACGAGAGCATTTTGTAAGGTTTGACAGGCCCAGTGATATAGCTCAAGGAGCAACTGAGTGGCCTACCAGAAAAAGGTGTTTGATATTCAATGCTTAATCTTTATGTAGCATTTCTCCAAAGTACTTAAAACTTTCTATCTCTTCCAATATTACTTTCCCTATTTATAACCTGAATTACTTTATATTTTGATAAACAAATGAACAACTGAATACGTCTTAGCAAACACTGAAAGAACATTACTTACTGATGAGGAGGAAAGGCTGGAGTTGTGAGGCAGAAGTGGTCATTAAGGTACTTCGACAGGGCCACCAACAGTGGTCTTCGGGGAACACTATGACAGAAATTACCTTTTATTATGCTTAATCCTCTAACAAGCACTTCAAGAACTTTATTTTCATCCATTTCAATCTCTTGCCCTCCGAGTGGTTCTGTTGACAGTATTCCAATTAGAAAAACTTAAAAATAGCTTCGAGTATAAATTTAAGGCTCATTACTGAGCAAGCCATACTGTCACTCCCTTAGGCAATACCCAACTCATCCCCCCCCCCCCTCCCCAGTGGGATATAGTGAGCTCCATACAGGGTCACTATGACCTCATCCCCAATGTAGCAGGGACATTTTCATATGCTCCAGCTGTATTGTAGATGGGAAAAGATATTCTGGAGTAGTCTCCCTTCAACACAGAATGAACTCAAAAGGTACAATCACCTACACACACACAAAACCACCTCCAAGCACACTTTGATTTTAAGAAATCTACCTAGTAAACTGTGTGCACTGTTAACTGCTAGTTGACAGCCTAGTTATTGTTTCCACCCATCACCAGGTATAAGCAGAAAGCAATTCTGCTTTCCTGGCCGGGGAGGATTTACTGGGCGCAATTCCTTAACTGTAGCCTCTGTTTAACGCAACAGTAAAATGTGTACTTGGATGAAAAAACGATTCTTTGCGGCAGGGGATCGTATTCCAGGGACCGTAGGATTAAGGACTTGCCCGAAACGCTACGCGTACTAGTGGCTCTACAAGAATGTAACAACTCTTGTATATATCTCAAAAAAAAAAAAAAAAAAAAAAAAAAAAATTGTAACAATCCTGCCTCATTTAACAACACTTCCCAGGAAAGACTCTTGAAAGGTTACAACAAATGGAAGGGCATGGGAGTGATTCCATGCCTGAATCGCCTGCTCAGGAAAGAACTGTTGGACTAACTCAAAGCATTATTTCTGAGCTTAAAGAACTTGGTGTTCCTGGGCCCTGGCTCCCTTGTGTGCCTTTGGGGCTTGTCTCTCGGCTGGGTATCTATTCTTCACCTCGGTTCCTGTGGTGCTCCCTCCTCCCAGGTCAGTGCCCTTTTATTTTTCTTCTCTGTGAGTAGATAGCTTCAGGAAGCTATAAGGGGTTCCCCCCATCCCCAGAAAACCAGCGGTGAATGTAATGAAAAGCCAATTTCTGTGAGAGTCCCGGTTGCTCCGTGACACCTTCCCTCCTTCCAGGTCGTAAGGGGGATTGTTCACATTTATCATAGAACTGAGGGTCGAGTAGCTGGCCGACTGGGAACTGCCCTCCACCCCTTCCCTTTATCAAATGAGCTTGCGCTAGTTTCAAAAGATTTTGATAGTTTGTTTACACTGTTTATGGAGTTCTTTCTGCAGTTTTTGAGGCTGCGGTGTAAACTGATGCCAGCAGTGATATGTTTTGTCTCACTGACTTTCTGAGTGCCCAGTGGTGGCATAAATACACACAAATGTCACCACTCCTTGCACCTCTGAGAGGAGGCCAGGAATCTAGACGAGTCAGGACTAGAACCTACTTGCTCTAATAAAACAAGAAATTGATTAAAAGAAATTAGATACATAAAATTAACGAGTTAAATGATCATTGCCATATTATTGTCAATATACCTACCATATTAGACCAGACTGCTACTAGGTAACAGCCCAAGGGACCCGATTCACAAGGCAGTTACGCAAGCACTTATGAACCTGTGTATCTTTTCTCACCCTTTGGTGACTTTGTTTACAAGTATTAAACAGTTAATGAGCTTTGAAGCACCAGGAGGCTGTTTCTAACAATAACAACAGTTAATTGGAAAGTTTTTATGCTTGTAAACTGTTTAATAAACGTAACCAAAGACGTCAAAGATTGAGGAAAGATGTACACGTTCATAAGTACTTGCGTAACGGCTTCGTGAATCTGGCCCCAGGTCATTCAGAGTTCCCTCATGAAACTTCCCAACAAATCCTTCCATCACACATGGAAGAAGGGAACGAAGCAGATGCAGACAGCTACAGCAGACCACACCAGACAATGTAATTTCATTATCATACATACAGCGTACTTGATTTTGAGGAAGGGTGGCTCAGTGGCTCCCAAGCTAACTCAAAACAGTGCCTCTGAAGAGGACTCCTGAATTTATGAAAAAGGACCAATTAAAGAAAATATAAATATATTGGCAAAATATTAAAGAAATTAATCATGATCTTATTGAGACCAACATTGGAATATGCAGCAGATATATGGTGCCCATATTGCAAGAAGCACATCAATAAATTGGAAAAGGTGCAAAGATATGCAATTAAATGACTTTTGGAACTAAGAAACAAGAGCTATGAGGAGAGGTTAGAGGTGTTAAATATATCAAAGCTAGAAGATAGAAGAAAAAGAGGAGATATGATCACTACATACACAATAATAACAGGAAATAACAAAATTGACAAAGAAGAATAAAAAAACTGCAACTTCAACAAGAGGACATAGGTTTAAACTAAGAAAACAAAGCTGTAAAAAAAAAAAAAAAGAGAAAGTTCACTTCTGCAAACAGAGTGGTAGAGGGTTAGAACAAGTTAAGCGAGGTGGTAGTGAATGCCAAAACTGTCAGTAGTTTCAAAGCATCATATGACAGAGTACTGGGAAGACGGGACACACCACAAGCGTAGCGCTCATCCTGTAACTGCACTTAGTCTGACCCCAGGAGTAGAAGTTCTGAAGCTGACCAAACAGAAGCCAGGTACTGTACATCATGGTTAGGGTGTTTATTCCAAGTAACAACCATTTGCCGTGTTACCTCTGGGTGCTGAATTTTCTTCAAGCAGTTGGATGCTTTGTTGCACTTATACTTTCTAGTAAGGATTTTTTCTTAGTTTTGGATTTATGACTGATCCCAAAACTCCCATTTTGCCTCGGAGAGAGATTCTGGTCCTGGCGCCCAGTAGGCCCGGGGTGAGTCTTGGAGGCCGGGTGCATCTCCCTAAAGCCTGGCTGGACCAGTGCACAACTACAGGGAGTTATTGTGGGGGGCCCCTCCCAGAAATAAAGAATATATGACCATAAATAGGACAATGTAGAAATGTTTGTCAACTTTTGTAAACTCGGCCATGCCTTGCCCACCCAACTTCATTTATCAAAAGTTTGTTTTTCTTGCACTCAAGTACATTTGTTTTCAAACATTTTGATAATAAAATGAATCTTCTAACTATGAACATGTTTATAAAAAGAAAATGAGTTTAAAAATGTCTTGAGTAAATTTCTTGAGAGGGTAGTTAAATTTAAGCAAGAAAACAAGCAGAATGCCACATCAGCAAAAAATGTTAGTTAAAGGCATTTACTTATGTCAGTAAATACGTGGTTGCAAACACTTACCAGGATCAAAGGTGTGATTTGTCTCACTAAAGTCAAAGAGAGATTTCATCTTGAAATAAAAGGGTGGTCGTCTTCGGGTTCTTATGCTACAATTCTTGTTGTGTTCTGAAGCTGCCAGATAACCGTTATACAGCTGCTGGAACCTGTTCCGGCAACACTCATCATGGCGTGGATATCCACTAGCATTCATCATCATGCTCACCTGTCATTATGCTAAGGTTAGGTCAACAATTATGATATGCTAGAAGTTTTTGTATCTATATTTATACTGACAAAAATAAATATATAAAAAAAATAAATAAATGAAATCAAGGCAAATACTGTACACACTTTACCTGCACTTAGGGGAGGTGATTGTATGTGTGAAAAGTGAAGCCAAGGAAGAAAGATGGTATTCTTTGGCAGTCCCCCACCATTATCACAGCTTTATCAGTGATATTTTTAAAGAAAACTTTGCACTTTTCCCCCCCATTTTGCACACATTTCTTTTATTAGAGAACTAGATTTAGGCATTTAACATACCAAACTCGGCAGCAAGATAAAACACACAGGCACCATTTTCATATTTTGCTACGAGTTCTTTTTCATATCAATCGTGGTACTAACTTTCTTTTTGCTTGGCTCTTATCACTAACTTTCTTGGCTTCCATAGTGACTTATTTACACTAAGAACATAAAAAATATACAAGAAAACACAAGAATGTGTAGAGGAGTCTGGTGATGTACACTGAACAACTGCGACTGGGAAAGACTCATCTGGGGCGTATGTTTACAGTCGAGTGCCAAACAAAGGGGCGACTACCGAACACGAACACGGCATTCGAGTGCCTTACTAACATAATGTATATTTGTTTACCTATAACAAGATCAATAGCCATACTCTGCAGCGTACATAGTACAAATACAGTACTTACCATGTCCCAATCTATTTTCACTTGGCCTTGCCACAGTTCCCTGACTGTGAAAAGAAGCTCTAACGTCTCACCTCGACTCCAATCACCGCCCTCTTCACTAGCCCACCACTCGTCTGAAAACATTACATTATACCTATAGATCACTCACTCATTCTCATAATATGGAGGGTTAGGTTGTTACTGATTAGGCTTAGGCCTAAGCCATAACAATTATAATAGTTTGTGTAAAATGTGTGAATTTTAATTTCTTGTATTGCAATATTAGTATTGAGTAGCACAAGAAATTCTAAGGAGATTTTGATGAATATTATTTAAATTGTAAGTTTCATTTTATGTAAATAAAAAAGTTAGAAAACTGTATTGTAATAGTGGTGCAAATTATTAATGCCTAGTTAGACATGGTGATGTTGCCACTTTTCAACTGTACTTTTAAGTGAGGTGTCTCGAGCTTACCATAGGAAACTATTATGTAATATTAGAATGTCTTACCCATAGGTTGTTTAATATGAAATATAGAAGTGCTTGTGACTAGCTAGGAGAGTTGATAGATACTGTATTTAATGACAGACATTGTCTATATCTTGAGATGAGGTTATCTTGAGATGATTTCGGGGCTTTTTAGTGTCCCCGCGGCCCAGTCCTCGACCAGGCCTCCACCCCCAGGAAGCAGCCCGTGACAGCTGACTAACACCCAGGTACCTATTTTACTGCTAGGTAACAGGGGGCATAGGGTGAAAGAAACTCTGCCCATTGTTTCTTGCCGGCGCCTGGGATCGAACCCAGGACCACAGGATCACAAGTCCAGCGTGCTGTTTCCCCGGCCCACCGGCTCTCATAATGGAGGGATAATGTAGATGTGGCAACTATTAGGAGGAACCAAGCCTGCAACTTGTTTCTTGGTAGCTTTTAAATCGGTAGAAGTAGAAAATGATTGAAGGCTGGATGTTTCTGCTAATTGTCACTATGACATCCTAAGTAGACTTATCTGCAGAGAACCCGCTGGCTCCCTGAAGCTATCTTGCTGAGATCGCTCCTCCTGAAGTGTCACATCAGTTGCAGAAGTTCTGTTTGGCCTACCAGGAACCAAAGCCCCACCAGGAAAGCATTCAGAAAGACGGTGAAACTTTACAGACAGCTGGAGGGTTCACAGAAAAAGAGGCTTCAAAAGTGCCACACAACTTGGCAAATGACCGAAATAAAACAAGATTTACCCAAATCCACCTCAAACTTGTTAGTACCTATCATAACCTGGTGGTGACAAGCGGAACTCCTAGAATTTTATATTCATCAAAATGAATAGGCTGGCATCTAAGGCTATGACAAAGCCTTAGATGCCATGGAAAAAAAATAAAATGCTGATGACATATACACAGATTTTGCCTTCGACAAATGTGACCATGGTGTTATTGCACACAAAAGGAATTACTGGCAAGGTAAGCAGATGGATCTTTATCTACCTAACAAAGAGAACCTAGAGTGTAATAGTCAACCAAAAAAGATCTGAATCATCCACCGTGAAAAGCTCAGTTCCCCAAGGTACAGTACCGTACTTGCTCCGGTACTTTTCCTCATCCTCAAATCAGACATAAACAAGGATACAAACTATAGTACTTTATCATCTTTTGCAGATACAGCAACACTAGAATTTTCACGAGAGTAGGCACTACAGAGGACACGGCAAGTCTCCAATCCGATGCTAATGATGTCTTGCAACGGACCACAGAAAATAACACTGTTTAATGAGGATAAATTCCAGTTACTGCACAATGAATAAAACATCAAAAACTACATATAAAACAAAGTCAAACCACACTATCGAAAAAAATCAATGTAAAAGTTTAAGTTGTACAGTTATTGTTTCTGAAGACCTTACTTTTAAAGGATGCAACAAAGTTGCTGTCACAAATGCAAGAAAAATAACACGTTGGATAACAAGACCTTCAAAACAAGAGATGTCATGCCATTGATAATACTTTTAAGATATTTAAGCCATTAATGCTATCTAGAGAGAAATATTGTTGAAATATTTCTCCAGCCCAATTCAAAGCTGGAGAAATTGCTGACCTGGAGAACATGCAAAGATATTTTATTGCTAGAATCCACTCAATAAAACATCTAAGTTATTGAAACTAACTATAAATATTAAATCTATATTCCCTAGAGTGCAGGCGGAAGAGATACATAATAATCTACATATGGAAAAATTAGAAGGACTGGTTCCAAAACTACACACTGAAATAACACCACATGAGACCAGAGTGCATGGCAGGATGTGGAAAATAGCCATACTGAAAAGTAGAGTTGGAATAGGCACGCCGAGAGAGAACTTGATCAACACTAAAAGCCCAAGACTTTTCAACACTCTTTCCCTACACACACGGGTCATACCTGGCCGACCTCTCGCAGTGTTCAAGAGAGAGAATTTGACAAGCACCTTCAAAGTGGTGCTCCAGTCTAACAGTCAAGGAAAAGCCCCTTGGCCTCAAGCCAAGTCCCAGCCATCCTTCATCTTCATTTATCCTGTCTATCATGCTGGTATCAGTGTATACTTGGCATTTAAGGGGATTCTCTTGAAGGAACCATCAGTGATAAAGATAGAAATTGAAGATAGCAAATATATAGGTAGAGGACAAACAATGTTATCTTGAATATTTTAAGATATTTGGTATATAAATTGCATAATTACACGTAAATATATGCATAATAATACTCACCTCTAATGTCAAAGTCAGCATCATGGCATATGAATGGGATCAAAATGCTTTCTACAAGCTCTTTACATACTACAGTTTTAGTAGCCTCTTCTAGACCTATACGAGCATTGAAAGAAACAACACTCTTGTATTCTCGACACAGCTGTAATACGGCAAAAAAACAAATTGTCAAACTTTGCATGCTAATTTTAAACAATTTGAATATTATAGAATATTTTACTTATTTGCACAATTTAACTACTATATTCAAGAACTATAGAACCAGTTGTGGAACCATATAAAAACAATAAATAATTAATATCAATCAACCTAAGTCAATATTTACCTGAGAAAAGCGTTCCTGACACTTGTTTGGATCAACTTTATAATGAGTACTTAGTCTTGAAGCTACCTCCTTCCATAGCTCTTCGCTTATTAGTACGCCCTCAAACTCCGCAGAATCATGACACAAAAGGCGCCATTCTTTAACTGTATTTAGCATAATGATGTGATTTGCTTCAGTCCAGTGAACAGTTCCATATTCTGGAAAAAAATTCAATATAAAATGATCTCAAGTCTCAACAGAGAAAGCAATCAAACCTGAAAAACACAAAACAGAAGAGAGAAAGGTTGCTATGGCTTATCTGTGGACAGAGGAGGACGTGACAGTCCAAATGAAGAGACACTCAAGAGCTGGGTCAGATGCCAAAGCACAACAATGTTACATTAGGGGCTTGTATGTGGTATTTACGATGAGTAAATGAGTAGATGTGTGAGGGAGAATTTACTAGAATGTTATTTTGGAGTAAGAGATCACTCCAGGGAGCCGGTCGGCCGAGCGGACAGCATGCGGGACTTGTGATCCTGTGGTCCTGGGTTCAATCCCAGGCGCCGGTGAGAAACAATGGGTAGAGTTTCTTTCACCCTATGCCCCTGTTACCTAGCAGTAAAATAGGTACCTGGGTGTTAGTCAGCTGTCACGGGCTGCTTCCTGGGGGTGGAGGCCTGGTCGAGGACCGGGCCGCGGGGACACTAAACGCCCCGAAATCATCTCAAGATGACCTCAAGATAGCCTCAGACTTACAAACATTGCAACAACTCATAATTACTGGGTTCTTTGGCTTCTGCATAGACAACGGAAGTCTGTGAGGCTGGCTAAGTTTAGGTACTTGGAAGGGTTGAAATGGCTTATACATACATTTATGCCATTATGGAGTAAAAATGGGGGATGGGACTTAGTGAATTTTGTACAGAAGAGTCTAATGGTTGGAAGAGACGAGAGTAGTACAGAAAGCAGCAGCCCATCAAGCCTAACCTCAGAACACAGGTGGGTCGTGATTCTGTCCTCCATCCATTCTGGATGACATTCACAGACACCAAGTGAGAATGTGAGTGTTCTCAGTATATTCCCTGAGTAAAAGTTAATCAGTGCACATGTGAGCATGTAGCATTCCATTCATACCACCACAGTATTTAGATATGAATTGGGCTGTGTAGTTAATAGTTCGAATTATGCTGGTGGAGGTTGAGTCTGAGGGCCCTGTAGGAGGCCGAGTCTGAGGGCCCTGTAGGAGGCCGAGTCTGAGGGCCCTGTAGGAGGCCGAGTCTGAGGGCCCTGTAGGAGGCCGAGTCTGAGGGCCCTGTAGGAGGCCGAGTCTGAGGGCCCTGTAGGAGGCCGAGTCTGAGGGCCCTGTAGGAGGCCGAGTCTGAGGGCCCTGTAGGAGGCCGAGTCTGAGGGCCCTGTAGGAGGCCGAGTCTGAGGGCCCTGTAGGAGGCCGAGTCTGAGGGCCCTGTAGGAGGCCGAGTCTGAGGGCCCTGTAGGAGGCCGAGTCTGAGGGCCCTGTAGGAGGCCGAGTCTGAGGGCCCTGTAGGAGGCCGAGTCTGAGGGCCCTGTAGGAGGCCGAGTCTGAGGGCCCTGTAGGAGGCAGAGTCTGAGGGCCCTGTATGAGGCCGAGTCTGAGGGCCCCCACTGATTTGTTGAGTCGGTGAAGGCTCTGGTGAATTAAGTTTAAGGTAAATTTGTAGAGCAGTGAATTATGTTTTGTGGAGAATATTGACATTTGTGTGTGGTGGGTTATATTGATGTAATTTATCTTGATGTTTAGTGTGGAGGTATTTGGTGGACAAGAATGAAATGAACAAAGTGTGATTGATTCCTCACTACAGTACTGTTTTATCTGTTATGAAGTAACCTCGGTTAAATACATAACCCGAGAAAAACAAAAGGGCTGCAGTGTCATTATCTCGTATGTCGTCTTACTGGTTGGTAACCTCCTGGTGATCTAGGCTGCCACCTTGGTGTTTCCAGTGACTTTCAGAAAGTTTGTTTAACCAAACTATTGTTTCCCATATTTTCTTAAATTTCTCATCAAGAGCAGCGGTTTGTTTTGTTTCAACTGACTTTCTTTGTGGTTTCCTTGCATTGAGGGCAATCTGACGCTCCGAGTAAACCAGATTCTGATTATGGGATTTAACAAGGTAGGACAAGTCTGCGGGATGTGGTATCGTATCTTGAGATAATTTTCAGGGCTTAGCGTCCCCACGGCCCGGTCCTCGACCAGGCCTCCTTTTTGTTACACAACCCCAAGAAGCAGCCCGTAGCAGCTTTCCAACTTCCAGATACCTATTTACTGCTAGGTGAACAGGTACATCAGGGTGAAAGAAACTCGGCACATTTGCTTCCGCTTCCACCGAGGATCGAACCCGGAACTTCAGGACTACGAAACCCAAGCGCTGTCCACTCAGCCATCAGACCTCGTGTCAGGTGGTATATGAGGGATTCTGCAGCACCTACACCTAAACACAAGAAGGCTACTCAAGGGGCTGACACACACACAACATAATAATCAAAATATACATAAATTACAAACTGTAAATAAACTGTGACCACACAATATAGAAATTATATTTATTATTATCGTGAATGATATAATTACTGTAGAGGCAGGATAGTTCTAATATAGACCACTTTGCGTGTGTATCCAACATACTTGTTTACTATGGAGATAGTAATAGTTTACTATTACCATTATCTCTAAATACTTCCATATATTAAATGACAAAACATACTTGTCTGCACTGTTTTATTTGTAACAATCTTCTTTCCTTTATTCTTGAATATTGTTGGCTGGTACATTAGACTTGACCCCCCTCTCTCTGCAACAAATGATGATGTTATGACATTATTTTGCATTGTTATTTGATAGAAATCAACCCATTTAATCATAAAGATTTATATATATAAACAAAATACAATAATAAAATATAAATTATTCTTTGATATTCATTTAACATTTAACAAGATGAATGTTACATTCATCTTTCAAAAAAATATGAAGGAAATTTTTAGTACTTTAAACTTTTATATAGAAGAAAATGTTTTTGTGATTGTGAAAAGTAAAATATCTGTTCAATAAATGCAAAAAAATAAAGCTTTGAATGTGATGACGTTCCCCCTTTCTAGTGAACCCCCTCTGCTGCTCCCTGAACTAAAGCACTGGAGCCACCAAGACTTGGGGATCACACCAGATCTCTGAAACCCACTCCAGCTGGCTGCGAGCCCGGACCAGAACCTGGCACTCTACACACAATAAGATGAGCTTGGAAATCAAAGATCAATCCAAAACCCAAGAAAACTTGGGGGGAAAAAAAAAGTAATGATAATGAATGAAGCATAAACACACAAACTGGGGTTCATTCTCTACAAACTAAAACAGGACATAAAACACAAATAACAACCTGCAATCGAGTTCAGTAAGTCTAGGTGAGGCCCAAGAATGCTGTCAAACTGTTTGTACTCTCCCTCCACTGATGAATCTTCTATAGTTTCTGCTAATATACGAGCTAACTGAAAAGCACATCACATGTTAACACATAAAGGAACACATTATATTATTCATAGTTAACAGTTATCTCCATGAAACATGGCAATCACAATAATGTAGCTGAAAATTATACACCCAACCCATACATCTGAAAAGAAAAGTGTGATGACATTTCCATCCATCCTAGATGACTTGGCGAGTATCCAAGACAACTTGGTAAGTATCCTAGATGACTTGGCGAGTATCCAAGACAACTTGGTAAGTATCCTAGATGACTTGGTAAGTATCCAAGACAACTTGGTAAGTATCCTAGATGACTTGATATGTATCCTAGACGGACCAAAACGTTGTCACTCTCCTTTCTTTTCAGATTCCAGATTTGTGAGTTGGGTTTGTAATCAAATAGGTATGATTAACTGAGTGCATAATTAATTATTACAGTTTTAAAGCATTGCATTAACAATGCATTAATTGAGATTTAATTTGGCTGAATTTGTTAAGCTATTTACAGGAAAACTGATGAACAGCAATCTCATGAGAGAGAGAACATTTCTAAAAGACAACATAGGTGTCGGTTAAGTCAATAATAAATTACATAAAAGTAAAACAACAATTAAAAGTAGAGCAGAAGTATAAGTATTATTCTAGAGGATGGTGACAACCATTTACTTCCATATACCAGTACTTACATATTTTACAGGTGGTGGAGGATGAATAAGAGCAGAACGTTTAATGCACATTTTAAGGTTGGTCAACCAGTTTACCATAAAATCTCTCCGAGCATCATCACAACCATCCATGATTGCCTCTAATCTTGAACAAGCCGTAGACAATATCATCTTTCGTGTCTCTTCTGATTCTAAATGAGAAAAATTAAGCATTGCCTTAATATGTATCATCAAATGTACCAATAGAATGTAGAGCATGGGATTCATGTAGAGCATGTACCAATGTAGAGCATGTACCAATAGAATGTAAAATAGGGATTCTATGTACCATAGAATCCCTATTTTGTGAGAATGCATTCCTGGAGCACTAATAAAACTGAAGTGCTGTATAATATTGCATGTAACAATACAAATTTTTATGGAAAAATAAGGTTGTCTTTAAATGTAGAAAAGCTTTCAAAACAAGCAACTCAGTTACTCCTTTAGGCAATGTCCAGCTTCCCCAAGGAAATACAGTAACAAAATTTCAGTTTGGCCCCCCTGCTACCCAAACCTGCCTTCAGACACTACTATCAGTACTGTCAACAGAGGCATCTGGAAAAATCACCATTACAGCGACTACTCTCCAATTCCAATCTCGGCAACACAAATTGCCTGGTAACTCTGACAAAATTGCAGCAAAGATTAAACGTCTTATGATTTGGACAAAATTTAAGTTATGGGGCTCAGCTGTCAGGTTACTGAACGGTGAGTGGCAACCTATGTTTACACGTACTATATTATACACAGGTCATCTATGTTTACAAATACTGTACTATATTATACACAAACACATTCAAACAGTGCTTAAATAACAACATTCATAACTAATAATATCAAATTTACAACAAACCAATATTGATAGAAATACTGTACCTCTATTTTCTAGCTAACATAACTGGACCTGCTCTGACACTATGAGCTAGTCATGTGTTTCTGCAAATCTCATGTTATACAATAAGGTGACAATCGCTATCAGGAGAATCTCCTTTACTAAAATTGTTCTTTAATATAAACTCATGCAGCTCAAAATACACAGTTACTCGAGCTCCACACAATAAATAAGGCATATAAACACACACACATGAAGCAAATACTAGAACCAGAACAAACACAAGCAAATGACCCTCACAAGACAAAGTCCAAAGGATGGCCAACACTTGTCTGGAAAACTGGGACCCTCAGAGTAAAAGTGACATGAAGAACACACATGAATGTTGCTGCGTAACAGGTGAATGGCCGATGGGATGCCTCAGTAAATTCAAAAGCTCCCGGTGCTGCCACCTGGTGGGCGTGGTGGAAGTAGTGAGTGAACGACCTAACTTCTGAATGTCTCCTTTTCAGAGTTGTTCAGATTTGCCTTACTGTTGTCAGTTTTGTCTCACTCTACCTTGCTGGTGTTTTCTCAGTTGGGGAAATCTAGCATCCCCTGCTCTCTGGCCTCTGCATGCGTAGTTTTCTTGCCGAACAGGGTTTAGCTCTAGGCATTTTACCGGTATCTTTGGTTCCACCTGTTCTGTCGGGATCTATATATGACTACACCATAAGGGGAAGGCAATTACACAAAACAATAAGAGAAAAAGACCTGGGAGTAGACATAATCCTAACACTAACAGTACAAGCTCATGTGAACAGGATATTATCAGCAGCATGTGGGAAATTCCCAAACATAAGATCATCATTTAAGAATCTAAACATGGAGACTTTCAAGTGACATTGCTTTTGCAAGACCATTACTCGAGTATGCATCACCAGCACAGCATCCACACCTCAAAGTAAAAAATAAAGAAGCAAATTGAGCAAGTTCAAAGGTTTGCAACTAGATCAGTACAAGAAAGAGTTTTCAGCTATGAGGTCAGATTGAGGGAACTCACCCTTACAGCCCCAGAGAAGAAAAAAGAAGAGATATGATCACAACATAACAAATCCTGAGGGGGCAGAGACAATACAGACAGATGAAGCCTAAAAATAAATTAAAAGTAAGTAGGAGAAGAGAACATTGGTGAAAGCTGGACACACAATTGAGTCATGGAGATGTAAGGAAGTTCTCATCCCGTGTACAGTGGTCGGCAAGAAGAATGCATTGAAGGATGAGGCTGTTGAAGCCAATTCCATCCACAACGTTCAGAAAAAATATGATGAAACTAATTAGTGCTCCAAGTATAAATGGCTAGGAGGTGGGGCATAAAGAAATAAATCCCACCCCCTCCGTTGCCACTGATAGGGGAAGTGGCAATAACAAAATAACAACAACAAAATAAAACTGTGGCATAACAAGCCACAGTTTTCTTTGATGTTAAATAAACTTACCTACAAACTTTGGATGGGAAACAACAGAATCTACTTCAGCCATTTTGTCCATATAAGGGAAAGGTTTCAAAAGCTCCCTGTTACGTTTGATTGTTCTCATCCTATTTGTGTAAAGCTGTCTCAATAAGGAGTAGTAAAGGCGGCACTCTTCCCCAGTATATCTGAAATATGTACAAACAAAATTCTATATTAGAAATATACTATCCAGCATTTATGAATGGCAACGTTTAATATGGCTCCAGTCATGTTTCCAATGATTCTTGTTGACGGATGAAAAATTAGAGAAGTTGTTAGAGCCTTGGGAAAGCCATTAACCACATTTAAAACCGAATTCTATAGTTTCTTTTCATTTTGATTTGCCAGGGTTTTTGTTCACTTAAATGTGGGCCTTTTTTTTCTTTGAAAATAAGGTTTCAAGGCTGGGGCAGAGAAAATATGCTAGTGGTGGTGAAGTCTCTTTACAGACAGGTTCTCCTGGCAGTTGTTTATTATAAGATAGATTGAAATTAAAATTGTGCTAAGTGAAATTAACCCACAGTGTGTGGGAAATATTAGTATATGAATGGTAACACTTATTATGTATGATTCCAATTACATTTTTAAAACATTTTGTAGATGAATATAACATTAGAAGAGAGAAACAGGCATAGTAATATATTTTTCTTGAAAAAAAATCCAGCGTTGAATGTAATGAAATGCCATTTTCTGGGCGAATCCCGGAGGCTCCCCGGAGCTATCCAGGCTGAATGGATATGTATAACTTTCTGGCATCAGTCAATGCATAATGCATAGAGTTCTTACCTACCGGGGACCACGAGGCAGAACCTGGCCCCCTCTAGAGAGGCACGAGGAGCAATGGCCTATAGAGACCCCCCCTTATGATTGGGAGCATTCTATGTCTGCCATCGACCGGGACAGGCACCCAGAAAGGTAGGCGCCCCAAAACAAACCCCTATTCTGGTAAACTATTGCGACCGAAGACCAAACAGATGGACAGAACTCCCCAAACGAAAATTAGCCCTCATGACGTCATCATGTCGCCGCGCCGCCGTCTGCGCAAACCCCCCCCCCTCCCCGGGAGGGGGAAGGGGGATGCCCCAGACCCCACCGTTGGCGACCCAACCATTAGTTCTTAGGCTGGATGTCAAAATTGCGAAAAACACCGCCGACCAGAGGAAGGGAGGGATGCCGGGGAGCCTTCGGGACTTACCCAGAAAATGGTGTTTCATTACATTCAACGCTGGATTTCTGGGGGGAGCCCCATCGGCTCCTCGGAGCTAACTACCCAAAGATAAGGAAAAAACGGACTTACCCGAGCGGCGGTCCGTCCTCACTCAACGCGAAGGCGAGACAACTGGCTGCAACCGTCGACTCAAAGCAACGCAGGCCCGACGAGGCCCAGGAACATTTACCAGGTAGTGAGCGGCCAGGACCCTGTTCGATCTCCAAAAACCCCGGGCCCGAATGTCCACCCAAGACATGTTCCCAAAGACAGCCGCCAAAGCAGCAAACTTACGAACGTCGTGGGCCCGGGGAAAAACCGCAGGCTGGCTACACCTAATAACCCTGCAGACAACCTGAGAGACCCGAGCCCGGGAACAGGGAAGAAGGGAAACTGGATCAACCCAGAGCGCATCCCCGGCAACAGAAGCCGTGGCGCGCAAATAACGGCGGAGAGCCGCAACTGGACACAACACATGATGCACCCCCGGCCTGACCAACCAAGCATCAACAACCCACGGCCCCCTCCAGAACGCAGCCGTCTCATTCTTCGCCAGAAAAGAGGGAGACGGCTGGAAACGAACAAAACGACCACCAGGACTGAAATAGCAGAAAGCCCGGCGCCGGAGGAGAGCATGAAGCTCGCCAACCCGACCCCCCGAGGCCAATGCCAACAGGAAAAGAGCCTTGGAAAAACAATCCTGAACAGAAGGGGCCGCCACAAACCTGGGCAGAGAGAGAAACATGAGCACGCGGTCCAAAGACGAAGACAGCTCAGGCAGCGCATGAGCAGGCTGGAGGTGAAACAACGCCCGAGATAACTTGCGAAACGGGGCAGAAGTAACATCAACCCCGAAAGCAAGCTGAAGCGGCTCCGCCAACGCCGCACGATACGAAGCAACAGTACTCGGCATAAGATGACGGTCCTATAACAGCCAAGAGAGAAAGACAGAACATCCCTATCAGAGACCGAAGAACACCGACGCAGTGACAGGAAAAACCGGAAGGACCACCAGGAAACCTCATACTGCCGCTGAGACGAAGCACGCAGGTGGGAGACCAACAACGAAGCCACCTGCGCACCATACAACGAATGATAAACCCGAGTCAAAAACACCAGACGCGAAGACTCGAGGAGAAGATGGAACCAGCCTCGTACAGGGCCGGACCGATCTGCTGAAAGAGGCGGAGCCGCGGGAAGACCCTAAGGTACGGACACTGAGCAAGCAGCACCTGAAACCAAGGGGCCAGAAGGACAACACGACCCTGGTAAGTCTCCAAGCGAGTCAGGACCTGGAGCAACAGCGGAACCGGGGAAAAGAGGTACAGGTAACCCCACCTCGCCCAGTCCAGCCTGAAGGCGTCGACCCCAACGGCTTCGCAGTCAGGAAAGGGTGCCACATAAACCGGGAGACGCCTCAACCACGCCGACGCGAAGAGATCCACGTCCAGAATCCCGAACATCCGGCACAGCCAATGGAAGGAGTCGGCATCGATCGTCCACTCCGAGGACAGGGGACGGAACCGAGACAGGCCGTCCGCCAGGACGTTGGACACCCCCCGGACATGAACCGCCAGGAGAGCCAAACCCCAAGAACTCAGCAGACGAGTCACCCGAAGCGACCAGCCCCAAAGAGCCAAGGATCGCATCGAACCCCCTTGGTTCAAACAATGAACCACCGGGGAGCAGTCCGAATGGAGCCGGATCGTCGATCCGCAAGCGACTCGAATCCTCCGGAGCGACATCCACACTGCCGCGAACTCCCGCACCGTGCTGTGAGCCCGACGGAAAGACGGAACCCACCGCCCCTGGCCGGCCTGGTGAACACTGGTCACAAAATCCCAGCCAAGAGACGACGCGTCCGTGTACACATCGAGTGAGGGCATGGGAAGGCGCCAAGGCACCGAACCCCAAAAAACCCAAAGAGGAAGCCGGCGACGCAGCAACCGACGTAAAGCCCCTGGAGGTCGAACCCAACGATCGCGAGAAAGGCAGAAGGGCCGGCCCCGAAGGAACCAGAACAGCCAACGAAGCCACACCCGACCCGGCGGGTAGACCATCATGGCAAAGTTCAGGCTCCTGCACAAACTCTCGAGCAACTGCCTTGTGACCCGGGAACACCTCAGAAACGGGCGAAGGCGGGACCGCAGGTGCAAGAGAGCCGCCGGAGGAAGAGACAAGGAAGCAGCACGAGCGTCCCAAACCAGACCCAGCCAAGACCGAACCTGAGAGGGAATCAGACGGGACTTCCTCCAGTTCACCAAGAACCCGAATCCGGCGAGCTGGGAAAGAACCAAATCCCTGGCGAGCAGACACACGGACTGGCTGGGAGCCCAAACCAGCCAGTCGTCGAGATAGGCCAGCACCCGAACACCTAGCAGACGCAGGCGGGCCACCACGACCCGAGTGAGGCATGTGAAAATGCGTGGCGCCAGATTCAACCCGAAGGAAGGACAACGAAAGCGGTAACCTTGACGCCCCACAACAAAACCGAGCCAGTCCCTAAACTCCGGATGAACTGGGACGTACCAATACGCGCCCTTGAGATCCAGGGACACCATCCAAGCGCCCCTCTCCAAGAGAAGACGGACCTGGGACAGCATAGTCATCCGAAAGAAGGGGCACAACACACACGGGTTCAGACGGGACAAGTCTAGAATGAACCGGAGGTCAGCGCAGTCCCGTTTCGGAACCGGAAACAGGCGGGAAACCCACCTGAGGGACGTCGTCGTTTCGACTACGCCCAAGCGAACCCACTCTGAGATGACCCAACAGAGCGCAGGAGAAGAGTCCTGCCCCGCAAGCCCCGAACCCCCCGAGGGAGAAAGAGCCACCCAACGCCACTACAGGCTGCGCGAAACGACCCGAAAAGCCCTTGAATCGCGAGATCAGGAGTGGGCAAACCGGGCGAGCCCCCCCCCCCCCATCGCCCCGTCAATGGGGCGAACCGCGAAAGGGCTGAAGCGCCTTGCGAGAACCAAGGCGGCGAACAGGACGGAGCCCACTCCGTCCAGCAACAGCCAGAACCGAAGGCGCCGCCAGCCCAGAATCTGGCACCTAAGGCCTACCCCGACGAAAAGACCCCCGAGCCCTGGCACGACCCTTCCGGGAAGGCCCACCACGAGCCCCCCGAAGCAACAACAACTCCGACATAGGCCGACAACTGACCGAGGCCGCCTGCAGATACTGCCCCACAGCAGACTTCGCAAACAGCAACGGACAAAAGGGCGAGGACAAACGAAGAGCCAGGGCCCAGGCGGACTCCAAGGAGGAAGCCAGCACTGCCTGACAACACGCGAGGCGAGACGCATAGAACCGCGAAACTGCATCACGCAGGATGGGCGCGAAGAGCTTCAACAAAGCAGACGACGCCCGCACAGCCGAGGGCAGCGCACCAGACCCAGCAGCAGCCCCAAGTGCTCCCACATCCAACTCGAACCAATCCGAGGATAGCTCGAGGAGGGAAAAGAAACGCAGAGCTGAAGCAAGCAGGCCACGAGTCCACAAATCCTCTGCAATCAAGGCAGCCGAGAGGGAAGGAACCTGCACGTGAAGCTGCATGACACCAACATCCCGCGGAAGAGCAGGGGCGAACAAACAAGCATTCAGATGCTCGAAAGCGCCCCCCCAGGAAAACTGCAACGCCAAGGAAACCTCTCACCACTCAAGCGCACGGGACCGAACGTGTGCCAAGCCTCCAACGAAAAGAGAGGACAGTCTGCCAACCAGGACGACTCCAGAACCTCATAACGAAACCAGCAGGAACCTGGGGTTCCGTACACGAAGGAACGAGGCTCCATCAGGAAGGCATAATCCGGGTCACGCAAGAGGTAAGCCGCCAAGGCCTCCCGCACCTCCGAAGCCGAAACACGGGAAATGGGAAACCTCTGGAAAGATGGAACCGAAGAACCCTCAGGATCATGGAACCGAACCCGGGGAGGGGTGGACACCAAATCCAATTCGTATGCGGAGGGAGTGAAAGAGAACCCCTCTCCTTGTAACACCAAGCCCCGCTTGGAGGGCAAAAAAAAAAAAAAAAAAAACCAGGCGAGGTCCAACGGGGCCCAAGGCCCCCAAGCCAACCCCTCCCCAACCAAGCAGCAGGGGGGGGGGGGGGAGAACCGAACGAGCAACAGAAGGGGAAGGACTTGGAGGGGCGGATGGAACCAGAGCCGAAGCGACCCCCACCTCCAAGTCTGGGTCCCTATAACCAAAACAGGGCAGTCTCAGGGCATCCGGGGCAGCGACCAACCTAGCGCTTTGCAGCAACCTAAAGCGAACATGCAACGCCTCAGCTGCCCTCACCCGCATATCAGGCGCAGTAGCCTGGGTGAACTGGATAACGTACAGACAACACACGTCGCACGACTCTGGGTCAAAACAATCACCAACCCAACAGGCAGCATGGCAGAGGCAAAACCGGTGAGTATCCCCGAGACAAGGGGACAGAGCAACCGTCAAACTCGTAGGACGCGAGGGGAGACTCAGGGGTCACATCCATCGGACCACGTAGCCCCCGTAGGGTTTTCCAGGGCCCTTAGCCTTGACAACACGCTAAGGGAAGCCCAGGCAGGGTACTGCGAACCGGCACCCAAAACTACTAACAAACTGCTATAGCTGAACCCCCAGGACGTGTACACTCACGGGGGCCAAGCGGGGAGGACCACCAAGTAGACAATCTGGAGACAAACCCCAAGAACAGCGATGGGGACCAAACAGGCAGACCCCCCCCCCCAGGCAAAAATCAAACAAAAGAAAAACCCCACAAGAGGACAACATACCCAGGCGGAACAGAGCCGGCCGCTGTTAATGGTGAAAACTAGCTGTGCAGTACCCCGTGCCCCTACCAGTGACGAAAACTACCACCTACCCAGAGACAAACCAGGGCAAGAAAAATCCCAACTGACCCCAAGGGCGGCCAAGTACCGAGCAGTACATGGCACAGCGGAGGTAGACCCCAAGGCGACCCAGGGAAGGTAGCCCTAAGCCCCAAGGGCAGTACTTACAGGGCACCTAGGGAAGATAACCCTAGGCGCATGCAGCCCGAGCACCGTGGAATAATACTCCTGGCCCACACACCACCGGAAGGGACAGCTCACACCACCAGGAACAGAACTGCAACTGCAAACAGGAGCCAGAGGCACAAACGCACCAGATCCCATCAGCCTGAGAACTAATGGTTGGGTCGCCGACGGTGGGGTCTGGGGCTCCCCCCTTTCCCCTCCCGGGGAGGGAGGGGGGGTTGCGCAGACGGCGGCGCGGCGACATGATGACGTCATGAGGGCTAATTTTCGTTTGGAGAGTTCTGTCCACCTGTTCGGTCTTCGGTCGCAATAGTTTACCAGAATAGGGGTTTGTTTTGGGGCGCCTACCTTTCTGGGTGCCTGTCCCGGTCGATGGCAGACATAGAATGCTCCCAATCATAAGGGGGGTCTCTATAGGCCATTGCTCCTCGTGCCTCTCTAGAGGGGGCCAGGTTCTGGCTCGTGGTCCCCGGTAGGCAAGAACTCCATGCATTGACCGATGCCAGAAAGTTATACATATCCATTCAGCCTGGATAGTTCCGGGGAGCCGATGGGGCTCCCCCCCCAGAAAAAATGAAAGACAGAAATGCATCCTGAAAGAATCTCCAATTACAACGGATCCCTCGCTCCAACGAATCAGAGTTGGTCCCACATACTTCACTAAATTGAGGTTACATTGTACTTTTTTTCAGATTTCCACCTCCCCCCTCCCCAAACAATAAAATCTACTTTTGTAAGAAAGAAGTCATATTTTACCTGTAACCACAGCCAGCAAGATCTCGACTGATCATCTCAAAAAGGCTTGAATTCTTAACTCCTTCCTGGCGGTGATGCATAACAAAGTCGAGGAGGAGGTTTGCGGCCGAGTGGCTCCAATATGGCACCAGTTGATCCGCCTCGACTGGTAATGGTTCAGGAGTGAAACCTAGAGTCATTTCTGTTTCTTCCAAAAGTTGCATTTCTACTACAAAAGGAAATGGGTTCGGACTATGATATCCTCGTCGTAGAAGAGCAATGTGATCTTCTATCTGCAAAGATTCAATGTCTTAAATAATTAGCAGCTTAAATTTTATAAATAGTGGATTACTCAATTCAGTGCAGAACAATGACTAAGATGACACTAACCAAGACAATTCAGGTTGCATATTACTAAAGTATATCAAATTTCTAATAAACTTTATATGATTAAAAATCATATCACTTCATCTATGGAATACCAGGTGAATAGCTATTCAGATAATTCCTGCTTCAACAGAATCTGGAGGAAAATCACTCCTAGTTAAATCCAAGTGTAAAAATATATATTTAGTTTAAGTTGTCATAAGGGAGAACTGATAAATACAGTAAATGTGAACAATGTAAAATGTACAGAACAAATACTTAATATAATTTTGACAAAAAATAATATTCACCTCATAGCACTGTTTTCTGTCATTCTGGGCATTCAAATATGATTTGGCTAGTTGCAGCCAGAGTTCTTCCATGGGCTGGTGCTCCCCACTACTAAGATGGGCTACCAGGATTTGTGGGTAAAGCTGCAGCAATAAGCGTGACTCATCCTCGTTCCATGCCAGCTGAGAATGAACTAAAAGAATTGGAATTAAATTCTAATCTATTTTCAAAGCAGCTATATATTATTTTTATATTACCTAAAATATCACAAAATACTTTTTTAATTTGAATTGGATACCTTTTACAATGTCATTACAGTACAGTATATCAGTTGAACTCTCAGGAAAGTACAGAAATGCTAGAAGATTATACAACCATGCTATATTTTTTTCAAGTATGGTAACACTAGTGTCTAACATATCTGTAAATACACACAATACTTAAAAAGCTGCCTAACTTTTCTAATTCCTACCACTCTCCTCATGCTTCTTTATATCACACTTGTACTATATACCGGGTGAGTATAATTGTTGAAGTAACCTTATTAACCTTTCAACTGTGCAAATCAACAGTTGATAGACAATCAATGTCTATCTTAACACTTTCGCGCTCTCGGCGCTCAAAAAAAAACAATACCCCAGATGTTGACCAGACCACACACTAGAAATTGAAGGGACGACGACGTTTCGGTCCGTCCTGGACCATTCTCAAGTCGATTGTGATGAGGAGGTAGGGACAGGCAATAAATAGGCAAGAGAGAGCTGAGGAGGAAAGTCAGGTGTAGGCGATAGTAGTAATGAGAACTGCAGCAGGCCTATTGGCCCATACGAGGCAGCTCCTATTATAACCACCGAAGGAGATAGTAATAGGAAAAAAGAAGAGGATAGCAAGGGAGCGTAGGAGAAGACAATGAACAGAAAAAGGGAGAAGAGAGAAAGAAAAGGAAAGAGAAAGAAAGAAATGGAAGGGGGTAAGCTTATGTTAAGTCACGTTTGTTAGAAAGATTAGAGCATTTGAGTATATACTGTGAAAGGGAAGAGTCCACAGCAACAAAGCCAGGACTCAAGTTCATGTTGGGTACATTGTTTATAAGAGCCGATTCTACAAGACGGCGTCTGTGTAGAGTAGAGGCAGGAAAGATTATTTTGGAGGAAGACCAATCAATGGGATGATTAGAATCCCTCACATGGCAGAAGAGAGCATTGTTAGTGTCTGCAGACTTAACACTTCTCTTGTGTTCTTTAAGTCTGTCATTCAGTGTACGGCCAGTTTCGCCAAAGTATTGGAGAGGACAAGATGAACAGGAAATAGAGTAGACACCAGCAGCATTAGAAGCAGGAGGAGCAGTGTGAACTAGATTGCTACGAAGTGTGTTAGTTTGTCGAAAGGCGAGTTTAATGTCAAGAGGACGAAAGGTATTGGTAAAAGTTTTGAGTTCAGATATGAAGGGAAGGCATAGTACAGTGCTACTAGTGTTGGAAGCAGGTTTAGGATGAAAGAAATTTCGTTTAGCTTGAGAGTGGGCACAGTTGATGAAATGCAAAGGATAACCAAGGCGAGAGAATGATTTGTAGATAAAGGCAATTTCAGAATCAAGAAACTGAGGGTCGCTGATGCGTAGAGCGCGGAGGAAGAGAGAGACGAGGACACTTTTCTTAACAGAAGGAGGATGGTAGGAAAAGAAGTGAATGTACATGCCACTATGCACGGGTTTACGGTAGACAGAGAAAGAGAACCCAGACACAGAGCTGTGAACATGAACATCAAGAAAAGGAAGGAGGGAATTAGATTCCCACTCAACTTTGAAATGGATAGAAGGAGCCAGATTGTTAAGAGAGGCGAGGAAAGGCTGGAAAAGATTAAGGTCATGAGGCCATAAAGCAAAATATCATCAACATATCGAAGCCAGAGAGAGGGACGAGTATCAATAGAAGGAAGAAGAACAGTTTCGAAGTATTCCATGTAGAAATTAGCAAGAACAGGGGAGAGGGGGGAACCCATAGCGACGCCGAAAGTTTGAGTGTAATATTTACCGTTGAAAGAGAAAGAGTTAGATTCAACACAGAGTCTAATGAGATCGAGGAAAACGTCAGTGGGAAGTGGGAGAGGAAGGAGGCCCTCTGACGCCTTCTGTCTGAGGAAAGAGAGAACGTCATCGAGCGGAACATTAGTGAACAGAGAGTCGACATCAAGACTAAGCATCTTACAAGAGGGTTGCAGGCGCAGTCTTTCTATGAAGTCCTGAGAGTGACGAAGGTGGGCAGGGGAAAAAGTGCCAAGGTAAGGTGTCAGGGTTTTAGCGAGCCAGGAGGCAAGAGGATAGCTGACAGAGCCCCGTGAAGAAATGATAGGACGAAGAGGAACACCAGGTTTATGAGTCTTAGGAAGACCATAGAAATAAGGAAGAGAAGGGCAGATGACACGGAAACGTTTAATGAGATCAAAGTCAGGAGGGCAAAGACTAGAGAGCTGTCTTAGTTTGCGGTTAAAGGAAGTTTTGAGGCGATCCAAAGGGTTAGAAGTCAGAGGAGCATAAGTGCGAGAGTCAGAGAGCAAGACATCTGCTTTTCGGAGGTAGTCCTCACGGTCAAGGACAACCACCGAATTGCTTTTGTCGGAAGGAAGGATAAGAATAGAGTTGTTAGATTTCAGGGAGGCAAGGGCAAGCTGGAAGCGACGAGGAAGGTGGTTATTTTTAGAAAACAAGCTGTCAAGAACGGGGATAAGGGCCCCTCTAAAGGCAGACAGGTCCGAAAGAGTACTAGAGTTAGAATTGACAAACCTGTCAAAGGAACTAATGAGATCAATGCCACAGCGTGGGCCAGGGGAAGTAGCAAAAGACAGACCAAGACCAAGAAGTTCTTGCTGGTGCTTAGAAAGAGAGTAAGACGAAAGGTTGGTAACACAGTCAGAGAGAGAGTATTTGGCCCAAGGACTGTTGGAGATCAGGCGTTGAAGTTTGTTGTGTAGTGTGGAGGAGTGGTGGGAAGAGGAGACGTGAGCAGTGTCTTTCCTGCCTCTATTCTTTCCTGCCTCTATTCTTTCCTGCCTCTACTCTACACAGACGCCGTCTTGTAGAATCGGCTCTTATAAACAATGTACCCAACATGAACTTGAGTCCTGGCTTTGTTGCTGTGGACTCTTCCCTTTCACAGTATATACTCAAATGCTCTAATCTTTCTAACAAACGTGACTTAACATAAGCTTACCCCCTTCCATTTCTTTCTTTCTCTTTCCTTTTCTTTCTCTCTTCTCCCTTTTTCTGTTCATTGTCTTCTCCTACGCTCCCTTGCTATCCTCTTCTTTTTTCCTATTACTATCTCCTTCGGTGGTTATAATAGGAGCTGCCTCGTATGGGCCAATAGGCCTGCTGCAGTTCTCATTACTACTATCGCCTACACCTGACTTTCCTCCTCAGCTCTCTCTTGCCTATTTATTGCCTGTCCCTACCTCCTCATCACAATCGACTTGAGAATGGTCCAGGACGGACCGAAACGTCGTCGTCCCTTCAATTTCTAGTGTGTGGTCTGGTCAACATACTTCAGCCACGTTATTGTGACTCATCGCCTGAATACCCCAGATGCTTTCGGCACTTCGCGCGCCTACGCGGTAAGACCGAAAAGTGTACACTCTTTTGACTGTCCTGACAATAATTGAAGGCGCACGTATTTAAATTTGGTATCACTGTGTTCGCAATGAAATTGTCTATAAGAGCATACCTATAAAATGCCGCCCAAGCATAAGGAGTATCGACACCAAATAAAAAACTATGCAGATCACTCGCCGAGAGCGCCAAACAGCAACAAAATGTTTCCACTCTCTTAATGGTTGCGAAACCTACAGTTGTCCTACATCGCTAATTTTGGTATCATTGGAATCGCAATAAAATTCTCTACACGGACATATGCATATGAATGTTTAATATAGGTAATTGCCCACCCGCAAGAGTGTGTGAAGTGGAGAGTAGTTAGCCGCGAGCGCACTGGCGAAAACACAGGGGGGAAATCATGCTTGGAAAGTTTATACGTTTCCTGACCCTACTTTTCTATGTACGTATTTCTTTTTTATACCAATGTGTTCGCAATAAAATTTTCTATAAGATGAACTGTATAACATTTGTACAAAGCATGTGTAAGAGAAGCGCCAAATATAGAACCACGTCGCTCAGTATGCGTTCGCGGCAGAAACGAACGCATTGTTTTCGTTCGTTTGATGTTTGTCATGTTTATACTTGTTGAAACATTTTATAATTTGTATGACAGTGATCGCAGTAAAATTCCCTACACAGACATATACATAACACATACAAATATTTCCCATGTGTTGGATATATCAACAGCTAAAGGGAACCCACTGCCACACGCTCGCCACACCCCCAAACATACTTTGTGTATTTTTTTTTTTACTCATAGAAGTTTGTGATATAATATTCATTCTGGTACCAAAACATTCGCAAATAAATTCCCTACAAAACAAAAGTATCCCCATCCATTTCGGTTAAAAAATGGAATTTATAGAAATATTTTTTCAATGGACGAGAAAACTCGGCTGTTATGCGGAATCGTAAGAGAAAACGGCGACGAGTTATCTCTAATCTAAAGCGCGAAAGTGTTAAGTACAGTACTGTACCTGCATACCATATGGGTGACAGACCAACTGGTCTATTACACACACTAAATATGCACAATGGTACCAAAATGAAATGGTTTACCTTATAAATGTTTATGGAACTTTTAAATCAAAATATATTACCTTGCCTCATTCTAATAGTACTAGACTTTTCTAGTTTAATGGTAGATCTGTCATGGGGCCAATAATTATAGATGTTGTAGATCTGTAAGAAAGATTTAAGAGATAAAATACAGTAAATTAAAGGAAATAACTAAAACAATAATTGACACATCAAATACAGTAGTAAGAAAAGAATCAAATCAAATTTAAGATATTTCAAATTCTTCTGCACTGCAGTGTGAATTTATATATACTTAACTATGCATAGATTTATGTGATGTAAAAAAAACATATGACAAGCAAATGCAAATACTCATGCTAAATTTATTGTAAGATAATCTGTCTGTCTACTGTGATTTACTCCTGCATGTTTGAAGGATTAAGCTGTGCTCTTTCCATCCATTTCTTACATACATTCCTTAAAATGCACACAAAAGAAATTACTGTACTGTACTGGCAAAGTAGGGAGATGGATCTTCAACTTCCTAATACACAGAACAAAGAGTGTTCAGTGTTTATTTTAGGATGCTCCCGATAAAAAAGTCAGCCAAATCGAATGTCCGGTTAACTCTAAGTGGGTTGGGCCCCTTATGATTCGGATTACCGAGCATAGACAATATTTTAGGATTGCAGAGATTCTCAATGAGCTTGCTTTGTTTTTTAATTCTATTTTTACCTTCAAATAATGTAATACATTATAGCTAAATATTTACTTTCGGCAACATATTTGTGAAATTAAATATATAATTTTAAAAAGTACTGTACAGTAGTCGACATCCTCGACTCACAATCGAGGATCACAGGTTCAATCCCCTGAAGGGATAGAAATAGTTGGGCACATTTCCTTTCACCTAGCAGCAAATAGGTACCTGGAAGGTAGGCAACTGTTTTGAGTTGAATCCTGAATAATGTCAGTAGTTAACCTAAGGCAACCTGATGCTGCCATCTAACAATTATCTCTATTTAAAACATCATATACCTGATATCTAAATAAATAGTACGTGATTGTTGGCTGGGGTTTACAGGCACACAGAGTAGTAACACACGGTCTTACAATACACAGTCAACTAGGACAACTACTTTAATATGGTTAGGCACAAATTCTAACCCAAGCAATAATACATGTAGAGAACCTGAACATATATCTTACCTCAGCAAGGTGCTCATGGTGTCTACATTCTCTGCGTATAGTACCAGGCTGAGCATTATGCTGTTCCATGAGAGAGAATTGTTTAGTCAGCTCGTAGAATCGTGTCCTCACCTTATCAACTGTAGTTTCGTATCCAATTTCTCTCTCCAATTTCTAAAACAAATATAATTTTTAATGAAATTGGTACCCTTTCTGAACAAAACAAGGACTATAAAGATATTTCAATCATAGAATGTAAAGATTTTCAGGAAATTTTCTTTGAAAGGTTACAAATAAACATCATTTCTAAAGTATCACATAATTCAAAACATTAATGTTTTAGCAGCCTGTTATAACTGACCAAAGACTTATGACAAATCGAATCATTATCATTAATTAGGAAGATTAGAAAATCATTTGAATAATCTCTAAGAGTTGAGTTTGATGCAAACATATGCAAGATATACGATAATGATTTAAAATGAAGTTGAATGAAGAATTGCAATTACTGTACATTCAGAGTACTAAAGTAATCTAAATGAAGAAGCACATTCCATGAGGAAGTGATATATTAAGAATTAATAAAGGCTATAGACAGTTTTAAACAGTTAATGAGCTCCAAAGCATTAGGAGGCTGTTTATAATAACAACAACAGTCGATTAAAAAGTTTTTATGCTTTTAAACTGTTTAATAAATGTAGGGGAGCAACCTGCCCGGAGGCAGCTGACCCCTATGTTCAGAAGCTTCTCAAGTGTATGCATGTTAATGTTTCTGTAGAGTACACCATGTATAATAAAATAAGTAATTGAATGTTAAGCTTACCTCTACAATTTCTTCCCACAATGCAGAGTTATTCACGTAGTCATTATTAAAGCGATAGACTCTCTCATGGTAGTATTTTAAAAGCTGTCTTTCAATGGGTATGGACCATTTTTCTGAAGAGATACAAAATAATAGAATATATATTTTCACACAAGTAACACTGTATACAGAAGTACAGCACAAGAATTTTTCAAAAGCAAAATCTTAAAAATCCAGAGCCGAGTGTAATGAAATCTATTTTCTATTGGGTCACTTGATAAAGTAGCTCTACGTAGCTATATCAATGGAGCAACCAAACCTTAGGGAATCACACAAAGGACTCCATACCCACTCAGAGAGCCCACTGAGAGCCAGGACCAGAATCTGATTCTCTCTATGAGAGGAGGAAGGTTGGGAATCTGGGTTAATTCCATAGCTCAGAAAAATCCAGCACTGAATGCTATGAAATGCCTCTTTCTGAATGGCCGATGCTACAACTTAGAAGTATCTATGTCTTGGAGAAACAATCAAGACTCTTGAAGCACACGAGTGCCAGAATTGGGTTAACTCAAAAAGGCTAAGGGAAGCTTGGGATCAGAGATCACCACAGAACAAAGAAAATCCCATCAGAAAGCAATCCATCCCTACAAAACAAGCAGTCTCATCTGGGCCGAAATTTTAAGAGCCTCTTAAAATAATACTGTGTATTGTTGTGAACTTCAATTATGGAGGAATAGACTGAATATCTTCGAGAATAACATTAAATCCAATAGCAGAGGAGCACTTGGAGGTTGTCAAAAACTGCTTTCTAACTCAATATGTAATAGGAACACCTGGGATAACAGCACAATATACTGAACCTAGTGCAGCAAATAAGGAAACACTGAAAAAGATGTAGAAATTGAGTGTGTTAGGAAATTGGAGTGAGTTGAGAGTCATTGAGTTGTGTATTAATGAAGACCTAGCCAACAGTCGCAATGTAGAAGCCAGAATACAAAGTGGACATCGATTCTCTTGATAAAATCCCACACAGGATGACCAGAATGAATCATGGTATTTGGGACCTGTTACACAAGAAGTTAAGGAAGCTCACCCAACATTCTCTGGAGAGGTGGAGGGTGAGGAGAGACATGATTCAGGTCCTCAAGTGGATGAGGAATATCAGCAGAGAAGATGTGAAAGAGGTCTTGAAACTATCAAAGCAGGTCAGAACTCATAACAATGAGTATAATCTGGAGACATTCAAATTCAGGAAGGGCATGGGGAAAGCATTTGTTTGGCAACAGACTGGTAAGCAAATGTAACAGGTTGTCTTGATGGGGCTGTCTTTGGCACAATCCTGATCTATTTAAGCTCTTCCATTATTTCCTGTTGCAACCAATCTTCAATCTATTTAAAATCCAGAATTGGGATTCTATGTTGCACCCAATCTACCGATTGACCAGGTTCTATTTAAGTGGGTATCCATTATTTATCATGAAATTCAAGTACAGTACATATTAAATATTTTTAAGAAACTAAACTTCTTTTAAAGTTTTAGAAATGGTAGTAAGCTATGTAGCAATAAAAATTTAAACTATATATAAATTGCTATATTATTGTCGACCTACCAGCAAAAGAGCATTATCCTATTCATTGCAGTGCTAAAATACTTAGAAGTTAGAAAATATATATTTGCAGATATAATTTGCACATACAGCAACTGAAAAAAAAAAATGAGTGAACTAATGTAGGAATAATATTTTAATAGAACAGAAATACAGAATATGGAGCCACCTTAACATACTTTTGAGTTCCTTTGGTTTCTTGCCACGCTTTTCCATAATCTTAAGCCACTTGGAGTTGCGCTCTGGGACATATTTAAATACTCTTTCGATATGATCTTTAAAGGCAATGACGATTCGTTCATTGTGGGGTTTGGAGTTGTGTTCTATCATTCTTTGGTATAAAGTGACAAGTGTGCTCCATCGCCCCTGAACTTGATCCGCTGTGTACCTGAAATTTAATTTTAGAAATTATACTTTCAACTTTATCAAAAACAATTCAAACAAAATTACTGAACCATAATAAATCAAGCACTGAACGTAATGAAATGTCATTTTCTGCGCAGCCTCGGTAGCTTCCTGGTGCATTTGCCCTGGTAACTGACAACCACAATACTACCTGACTTACCAAACACCAAGACCAAAGTCTGGTGTGCTCATAGAGGCAAGAGAAGCCTGGGGATCTAAAATTAAACTTATAACTGAATCAAACTGCCCAGAGAGTACAGGTGGAGCAACACAAACTACATCTCTTGATGAAAAAAAGAACAAAGATGGAAATAGCGGTAGTGTCGCAGTGTGCCACCAGATGCAACTCAGGTCGCCCAAGGGTTCCACCTGCCCATTTAGCTCACATTATAGTGAGCAAACAGCCCAAACAACCCCGAGCCCCATAGGGAAGAAAGGCAAAGAAAGGAGGCAAGGAACAGCCAAAAGATAACAAGCAGCCAACACCCTGTTAGAGCTGCCATCTGGTTGTGCACTGAGATATTACCACTGTTTCCATCTTTTCTTTCATCAAGACATGTAGTTTGTGTTGATTCACTTATACAGTACTTTCTGGGCAGTTTGACTTGGTTATGAGATTGATTTTAGATCCCCATGCTTCTCTTGTCTCTATGAGCAACCCAGATTCTAGTCCTGGTGTTTGGCAAGTCAGGAAATATTGTGGCTGTCTGTTACCAGAGCAAATTCACTAAGGAGCTACTGTGGGCTGGCCCACAATACACAATTTTTAATACGTCTTATTATTTACTTACTGGTATCCATGAGACTGAAGAAACTGCCGAATGTGTTCCCAGACTCTGTGTCTCATGCGAGTTCCTCCATTCTGACCCAGACGTTTACTACCATTGGCTTCAAGCTGTCTAATTAAGAGCAGTGTGGCTGGACAGTCCCATACTCCTTTAAAAGAAATGAAGTGCTTGCATAGGTATGCAAAGTATTGTAAAGGGTACAGTATGACATGTTAATAAATACAGTTTACAAACCTTCAGGAAACTAACCTTGAGAATTCTTAAAACAGATTTTATTGCACTGACTAAAAATAAATAGTGTGCCGAGAATGAGGTGATGCTTTTTGAGCGGTAGCTCTGTTATTTCCCAAGCCATAATCTCCAGATCACTCTGAACACTGCAACAATACCAGGCCCCCTCAGACTTTTGCCCCACCATAACAAGGAACTTTTCAAATAGTCTCTCCACACGACTGGAGAGGAGAGACACAGGAAAGAATTCTCAATCCATCATCAAAGTAACAGCTCACTATCATACAAAACAGATATAAACCACTCGATACCCCCCCCCCCCTTTAAATGATAACTGGAGTCATGATGAAAGTCAACTACAGATGATAAGTCACAATGTGACTGAAGATATTATGCCCAAACCACACATCAGAAAGTGAAGAGACAATGATATTTCAGTCCATTCTGGATCATTATTACACAACTTGATAAGGGTCCAGGAAAGATCGAATCATCATAGTTCATTGTTTCTTCATTTTCTTATGTGTGGTTAGGACATCAAAGTCAATTATCCTCCTGCTAATTACTAGTCACAAGATTGTACTAAACAACCCACCACTTCCAGCTAAAAATAATAAACATAAGGCCAGAGGAGCCAGCTGCTTCCACTTAATGGCCCAGGGTAACACAGTAAGCTCAAGGAATAAGGATTTTTAGAGCCGAGAAAAGGAGCACTGAGTATTCCCAACCTTAGAGGAGCATTTCATGCCACTCGGTGCCCTATTTCCGAGTACAGCACCCCCTCAGGTGTTCATCGAGTCATATCACCACTGAGTTATTTGCAGCATATGCACAAAATACGGAATTTACACAAGTCAGCTCAACAGAGCAGATGGGTTGTTGTTTGTTGTTTTAGATTCAACTACTGGGAACAAAAAGTTCCAAATAGCACGGGCTATGGTAATCCCATAGAGGTCTTTGAGCAGAGGGGCTTGGGACACGAGGGAAATAGGACTGTGCAGATGAAGTCACAATAACGGGGCTGAAAAATATATTTTGATTCAGAAATATATAAATATTACCATATACACTTACCAAAAAGATTGTTAAGGTCATCAAAGTACTGGCAAGTTTTTCTGGAGTTGTACAGGTCATTGTGATTGATTGTGTTCCGATATTTCTTACATAGCTCTCGCCACCGCATACGAATCTAGTCAGAAAGACATTAATTTTATTTAATGACATGATTGCATTACAAGAGGCTGAAAACAAATTTGGGATCATCCAACAGGAATAATAAATGGTTTAGCACCCACATACTGTATATGATCTGACACTCCTTGCACATCAGATGGTGCAGCCAGCCAGGATCAATATACAGCACGACATCACAGACAATGTTTGGGTACTGTAGACCTGCAGGCTCATATTACACTCAAAGAGTCACTGGGGAAATAAATCAATCCTACCCAGGAATGATCATCAGACGTTAATCAGTAAGAAAGCAAAGCCCTTTCTGAGCAATACATTTCATCCCAAAAGTACAATGATACTTCGGCACTAACGGCTGTGAGTTTGAACAATTTTGCACTTGAACACTTTATTCAAGGAAAAAAACAGCGTTGAATGTAATGAAACGCCATTTTCTGGGTGAGACCCGGAGGCTCCCCGGAGCTTTTCCGGCTGATATGCTAATGTCAGACTTTGGCATCAGTCATGTGTATGGAGTTCTAGGGCCTACCGGGGACCACGAGCCAGAACCTGGCCCCCTCAGAGAGGCAAGGGGAGCAATGGCCTATAGAAACCCCCGTGTGGTTGGAAGCATTCTATGTCTGCCATCGACCGGGTCAAGCATCCAGAAAGGTAAGCATTCCAAAACAAACCCCTATTCTGGTGAAAATTGCTACCTAAGCCGAACTAGTGGATAGAACTCTTCAACAGAAAACAAGGAAACTAGTATGACGTCATACGTCACCGCGCCGCTGTCTGCGCAGCTCCCCCCTCCCCGGGAGGGGGAAGGGGGAGCCCCAGACCTCCCACGCCGGCTATCCACCCATCAGTTCTGAGGCTGGATGTCAAAACACGCGAAAAACGCCGACCGGAGGGAGGGAGGGTTGCCGGGGAGCCTCCGGGTCTCACCCAGAAAATGGCGTTTCATTACATTCAACGCTGGTTTTCTGGGGGGAGCCCCGTCGGCTCCCCGGAGCTAACTACCCACAGAGGAAGGTCTAAAGGGACAAAACCGGGAGGCGGACACCACGCACCCCCCAAGGAGGCGAGACAACAGGCAGCAAACGCCAACCCAAGGCGCCACAGCCCCGAAAATCCCGGGAACAACACTAGAACCACGAGCAGCAAGGCCCCTGCACGAACACCAAAAATCCATGCCCGAAAGACTGCAAGGCCACGTCGCCCAGACTGCAGCGAGAGCAGCGAAGCCACGAACGCCACAGGCATGAGGGAAGAACACAGGCAGCTGAGCCGCAAGAACACGGCTGACCACCCGGGACACTATCACCAGCGAACCGGGAAGAACAGAACCGGATCAACGCAAAACGCGCTCCGGACCCAAACGCCGTGGCAAGCAAACAACAGCGGAGGGCCGCCACTGAACACCAAAACGACACACCCCCGGCCCGACCAACGAAGCACCAACAAACCCTGGACCCCTCCAGAATGCAGCAGCCCCACCTCGCGCCAGAAAAGATGGAGACTGCTGCCATCAAACAACCAAAACGCTAAAACCGAAGGAGCAAGAAAACTCAGCGACCCGACCCCCAGAGGCAAAGGTCCAAAGGAAAGAGCCGATGAAAAAACACACCGGAACCGAAGGGGCACTACCAACCGAGGAGAAGACAGAGCACGCTGACCAGAGACCAGGATGGTGCAAGCGGCGCATGAACAGGCCGGAGGTGAAACGACGCACAAGACAGCTGACTAACGGTGCAGAAGCAACACCAAGACCGAAAGCAAGCTGAAGCGGCTCCGCCTGCGCCGCACGAAAAGAGGCGACAGTATGTGGCAAGACGACGGCCCCCAACCCCCACTAGAAAACCAAGCCGAGAGTAAACCAAGCGAACAAGAGTAACCACCTAAGAAGAGACAGGAAAAGGAAGGACCGCCAAAATACCCCATACTGCCGCCAAGAGAAGCACGCAGGTGGAACACCTACCACGAAGCCACCCGACCACCAACCGGAGGCAAGACCACGAGGCAGAACATAAGCAGCCCCGACAAGGCCCCCCCCCCCCCGAGCCCAGGAAAAGGCGGAGCCGCGAGAAGATCTCGCGCGCGACCACCGAAACCCAGGCGGCACAAGGAGATGGAACGTCTGCCGAACAGAAAAAACTCCCCCAAGCATGCAAGCCCGCCAGGAGTTCAGAAACGACAGGTCCAACGCGAGACATCGCAAGACCCCCCCCCCCCCCAAAAAAAAAAAAAAAAAACGGCAGGGCAAGCTAGGAAAACCAAAGAAGGCGGAAGGGTCGCTGTAACAGACTAGGCTGTTGTAAGAATTATCCAGAGTGGTTTATCGACAAAAGAGAATGGGAAGCTGAGCCGCATGGTGACCTGACCCCCAGGGGAATTCGCGGTGGAAATAACCGACGCTTTGTTCATATCTGCGTATAATGAATCATCCTATAGTATTCAGGAATTTAGAGAAAATTAGCCTTTATTCATTTTGCATTAAAATTGTATTGTATAATAGTACTGGGTACAATATCAAGAGTATTCTAATTATTGAGTTTAAGTCACCATCAGTGACGTCACGAATCAGATCTAACTTTTGAGGCGGAGTGACCGGCGGTCATAGGTCAGCAGGGTTGACATGTCTAATATTTCTCAAAGTTTTAATAACCATTTTTGTGATCGGGAACAGCTCTGCCGTTAGATGTTTGTAATTTAATTCAGTAAAATAATTCAACCAGTCTGGATCAATTCAGTATAAACAGAGGATAATTGTTATAACTTAACCGTGCTAAAGTAACTGGGTAAGCGATGCGGAACAATACAAGGTTCTAGTCTGGGCTAGGCCAGACGAGGACAAGTCAGTGTGAATACGGGAGCAGCTGGGAGAGGTCAAACATCTTACCTCTCCCCAAGACATCTAGCTGGTCGCCCAAGGTATAGTTGCTATGGTTATGTATAGAAATAGTCTTCTCATTTGCCATTCAGGTCAAGTAGGGAGTGTTAAAGTGATAGGGAGTGAACACATTTAGATTTTGTTTTAGTTTTCTTTTAATAAATTAAATTTGTTATTAATTTGCATTTTATTGTTTCCATTTGGTTATGTGTAAACTTGTCCTGGTCACGTGGTCCACACGAGGCAGAGTTGTATTGGGCGCCGATTCTAACATCGAATCGGAATCATCATTACCGTGTAATTTATTCCACACTCAAGGTCATCGTTTATAGTGGGGATCAAGCCCCTAGGTTGATTAATTAGCGTGATCGATCCAGACCTCGATCATTGCTCTTGTATTACTGGTCTGGTGGTGGCAGCAGAGGTGACTCTAGGGTTTTGTTCAGAGCTTAGGTCACGTCATACTGGGTGTAGAATCCTAAGTCGGTCAATCGTCTTAGGACCACGTGGCGTGGAGTTGGCTTTGGTAAAAGTTTTGGAGTCCCTTGGTTTAGAAATAAAAGTAAGAATACGGGTAGAGGGAGTAGAAAGAAGGAAGTAAAGAGAGAGGACCCAAACCCGTGTTACAATGGTGCACAGCGGTGGTTTCAACAATTTTGTTTGAAATTGTTGAAAGGCTCACGCGTCTAGCCGTTCGAACACGTGCGCGGATGCTAAGGAGACAGCCGCGGGTCAGGATTAGCAGTGCGCCCCACAAGTGCGTTTGAGTGGGGATTGGCGAATCTTGGGTCATGCGGGCTGATATGATTAAGGTTTAGTTAGTAAGATTAGGTTGTTAAAATTAGATTTATTGAAAACGAGACCGCTCCGAGTTGATTGGACTGGGTACCATACTCGACCCATTGCAATTAATTCAGAGGTGTTGGGAGCCACCATACTCTCAACAGCAGTTCCTTGAGGGCTGTCGGGGGCGGATATATCTGTGGGACGCCAGTAGATAGTCCGAGGGCGTTATTAGACGACCCAAAACGCTAGGAAAAACGTAATCCGTGAAGGGCGTTGCGGCCTCCGAGGGACGGACTAGTAAACTACCTAGCAGCGATTCAACAACTAAGTGATCGCACACTTAGTGGAGGTTGAGTCGTCCCTAGTCATAATTGTTGCTGAAAGCTGCGTGTCGCTCTGTTGGAACCTAGAGGGTGTGGCCCCTAGGCTAGGTGTGGTACGGCGAGCCGGTAGGAACAATTATAAGATTAAGTCGAGTGCATTTTTGAATTAAGTATACTTCAATTTATAAAGTAATTTCCGTTTATTTGCGTTGTTCTAGATTAATTTTTCCCCTAAATTCAATCCCCGGTTAAAATTTTTTTCAAAGTGTTTAGCATTTTCTTGCATATTAGACTAAGTGCGTACGTTAAGTTTTGTTATTCCCTGTTCTATTAGTCTAAGTCAGAGGCGTTGTTAATCCTCTGGACTTAGGGCTATATGTCGGTCACGATAGATAAGTGAAGGAGTTTAAGGGATAGTAAGTTGCGTGTAAATGTTATTTGTCCGTGGAATATTTCTAAGTATTTTGGGATAAGTTTTCGGCTAAGTCAATGTCGGAAAGTCGTTAACTGTAATTAATTTGTATTCGTGGGTCACGTGTATGATCTGGGCGTCATTAGGATTCTCCAGTCGATGCGAGTGATATTTTCTAGTTTTTACCAGTAAGACGGTAGAATTGTGTTTTAGACTTAGAACTCTGTTTTCAGTAGAAACGTAGGTGGAAAATTTTCTAAGTCCAGCTTGGGCTAGAATCTGACTTTTTGGCGGAAATTCTAATTTTCATGTTTTGTGTATATTCTGGGGCCAGTATTACTCTCTAGTGCGCGCAAGGGACGTAATTCTGTTCGTAAAGCATTAAACAGTGATAATTACATTTTTGCCGAATTTAGTTATTTTTCGAGAAAATCGTGTTGTAATTTTGTCAGAGTCCATTTGAGGTGAAAATCTCGGATTTTGACGAAAAATCGAATTAGTGAGTGTTGAAACCGCCCGATGTGTCAGTATTGTTCTGTATACAACGTCAGTAGTAAATAATAACTTATTTTTATATCTGGAAACGAGAAACCCAAATTTTTGTG